AGCTGGACGGCCGGCAGACAAAAGCATGAGCCCCATCTCGGGTTCTCTGGACTCTCCTGATTCCTTGGATGCAGCATCCCCTCCTCGTGAAGCGGCGGCAGTCGGTCTCCCAGGGTCACCAAAAATCAGCGCCTCTTTCCTCATTTCCCCCTTGATTCTGCATTGTTCCACCAGCTCACACACCAATCGGTCTCACCAAAGCGTCATACATTATCCAAAGAAAGAAAAAGGAAAATAAAGCAAGCAGTATGCAAATAAAACCAAGCAAAGAAACATGAAAGCGGACGACAGGCTGGTTACTTAATACTGCGGAATCTGTGCGCCTTAACCCAGGACTGACGTTTGGAGCGTTAAACAGTTAATTCCTACCTCCCTACTCTTGCGGGTCATTTGTGGCGTGCATTGTCAAAAATTCACGTCACAGTGGATAAAACTAAAAGCATGATTGTAAGGAGTGTGAGAAAAGAATTAAGAGGGAACATCGTACTGAAATGTATGGATGGAACTGAAATTGAACGAGTTGAAGAAATGAAATACCTAGGAATGATGATCGATGATAAGCTGCGATTTAAAGACCACTGTGAATATATGTTGAAAAAGATAGGTAAAGAGACGAGTTTTTTTTTAATCAAATAGGACAATATATATCAGCGTACACTAGATGCGTCATATATAAGGCAATCAATGCACCACATTTTGAATATTGTGCTACTCTGTTAGTCTGTATGGGCGAGACAGAACTCAATAAATTGCAGATAGCGCAAAACAGAGCGATGCGTGTCATATTGCAATGCAGCAGGTATACAAAGATAGAGGATATGTTACAAGCGGTTCAGTTTATGAGTGTGAGGCAGAGACTATACTTTAATGCGTGTATATATATTTACAAGGGCGTCAAGAATCTGATGCCGAAAGAAGTAGCGAATAAGTTCATTATTGTGCGGAAATATTGTGGAAATGAGCAGAAAATATTGCAATACAATTCAGGAGAACTAGATGTGCCCAAAAAAGCATGTTCTATGAAGGAGTGAAAATGTATAACGCGCTACCAACAGAGGTCAAAAGTTGTGAAAAACTGATAACATTCAAGAGAATGTTAAAAGAGTATATTATAAGTACAATTAATTAAGTATATCATGCATGCATGTAAAAATATGTACAACAAATATCTGAGGAAGCTAATAAACATCAAAGTCTCTCTCTCTCTCTCTCTCTCTCTCTCTCTCTCTCTCTCTCTCCCCCTCTCCCTCTCCCACTCCCTCTCTCCAAATCGTTGTCGAAGTCAGACGTGTCAGTTTTTGTTCCGATGTTTTGAGTCTTGTATTGAGGGGCCCTGGCGATTTTGGGTGCACTTTGTGTGCAGGTTGATGCAGTTGGTGTTTTGTGCTCTGATATTGTGCTAGCTTCTGTGATTGTGAAGTGAAGCTGAAATGAAGCTGAGTTTTCTAGTCTGAATGGTGACTTTTGGCAAGTGCTCTGCTCGTCGGTTGGGCGTTGTTCGGTATACGTAGGTGTACATGTGAGACTTATCTTCTGCCGACGCTATTATTTATTTATATCTGTTATTATTATTTCTTTTGTTGTCTTGCCATACTATATTGTACGAGGTCTCTGACATTTGAATGATTAACAGACTGTGACGTGGTGACATCTCTTCGGTAGGTTATACACTAAGTAACTATCGGCATTTATCGATCAAGATGGTAATGAAATGCAGCACTTGCAATCATATGATACCTCCGACGGATATAATAATGCCAGGAACTGACTGTGCGCATGTATATCATCCTGCCTGTATAAAGCATGTAATGCAGCTAACTTCAACAAGACAGGCGCAGGAAGCTATTGCTAACCATTGTCCTACCTGTGCAATAACATTATCCCCGGGATCAACAGTTCTTGTATCCGTAAAGAACCTAGTTCAGTCTGTAGATGAGAAGCTGGGAACCATTGCCGCACTCAATGTCTCAGTAACACAATTGACGGCACAAATGACATCAGTAGAAACTAAACTAGAGAATGTTAGTGAACTCAATGCATCAGTGTCCAAGTTAACTAAGCAGGTGGAATCCCTGGCAGCTGCCAGTGAAGACTTACGGCGAGAATGCCGTAAACTGAATGGTTCAGTTATCGGAATACAGAAGGCTCAGATAAATCTAAAGAAGAGGAAGACGACTCAAGCGGAAAATATTCGAATACAATTCAGAAGAACCAGAAGTACCCAAAAAAGCGTGCCCTATGAAGGGGTGAAAATGTACAGCGCGCTACCAATGGAGGTCAAAAGTTGTGAAAAACGCATAACATACAAGAGAATCTTAAAGGATTATATTATTAGTACAATTAATTAAGGATATCATACAATATAATATAATATCATACAATATAATATCAATCATACAATATCAAACATGTAAAGCAATGTACAACAAACAGCTAAGAAAGGTAATAAACATAAATCAATCAATCAAATCTCTCTCTCTCTCTCTCTCTCTCTCTCTCTCTCTCTCTCTCTCTCTCTCTCTCTCTCTCTTTCGACCCCCCGGCCCGAGGATTCCCGAAAAATCTCGAGTTCACCGGAACTCGTGCGTTGGCTCTCGCCTCGGTCCCCTCTTCGTTTTTCGGCGCTCACACCCAGCTAGTCTCCGGGTGGCGCCGAACTTACCCGAGCCTGCTCGATCTCCGGACTCGGCGCTGCCGGTTTCTCTCCCCGGCTTCCTCTCACCGCAAACATTCGGCGTCGTCGGCATTCTCTCGGCGGCTTTGGTCGGCGGCACGGTCCTCCGTGTGCCTATATTTTTATGTAACTGGCCGTCCCGCGGGTGCCACGTGTCAATATATATATATATTATGCAAAACACGCGATACATTTTTTTCTAGATGAAGAGTATTAGGGCGCTTGTGAACTGTGCGCGAATTCGTTGGTTGCTGCAGTTGCGGCCAGGGGCTATGCCGTGCTCTGTACAAAAGACACGTGGTTGTATGTCATATCACTCGTGGTTGTATACAGAAAGTAAGTCAACCAATAATTGGTAAATCGAAGTACACCGCAGATCCTTTTTCTTCAAGAGGTGCTGAAGATCATCCAATATGGTATCCTTTGTTTCGTCCTCACGTCGATCCAGCTCAGCCACCAGCACATCTTTGCAGTTATTAACGTTGGCCGTAATATTGTGTAGTCGATTTGTTTGGACGTTAATGCAACTCAGGATCTTCTTTAGGTTCTTTCTTCTTCTTTAGGAAACCTTCTTCATCACCACAGACGGTATGTAGGCTCTGACTTCTTTATTTCCCGAAAAACTACTATCCACAGCGGTGGGCGTCATTGGTTTGAATAAGATTGCGCGCTCACCATATGAAAACGTAAAGGATATTTCATGACCTCCTGTAGATATAGAACTATTGAAATCCTTGGACACATCCTTGGTGACATCTGTATCGCTGAAGAATTTATCGATGATTGGAAAGTGGCCTTTGACGGTCTCCCACTCGTCAGCTTCAAACTCCACACCGAAATAATCTTGATTAATGAGGCGTATTACGGGCGATAGGTTTCCTGAACGATTCAGCGAGAAACCTGTATTTATTTGTTTCGAGAATGATCGGTTTAGTCCGTAGGTAGAGAGTAATACTTGTTTCTTGAACATCTTGACAAATAACACAATCAGCGTTCTTAATGTTATCGTCGTAAGACTCTGCAGTACTGGTCGTGTAAAAGAACAATTCCGGATGTTATTGAATAAATCTGCTGATATGGTAAGATACTACACTGCAGGATATCCAGACATTTAAGAGTAGGGTGATCCGGGTCTTGATATGCCTAATGCTGATTTTGCGTAATCCACCGAATTATATTGTTTTGCCTGAAGTCACGATGGTGTGACACATCGCGACACCCTGTAACTAATGATACATCATAGCGTTGTACATCGCAGCGCGATATCGTGTAACAATATATACTTGGTGTCGCTATCGACTAAAAAAAAGCCTATCAACCCAACATTGAACTCATCAATGGAGATATCAATGAGTTCGCCTATTTAAAATAATTAGCGTGTATGATCTCATTATCCCTACACGGAGGAAAAATACGTAAGTAAATATCGATGATATTTGTTATTCCTGAAGTAGCAGTATATGCTTTATATTGCTCCATCTCACAATGTATCCTGATTGTCCGGATTTTTTTTTGGGTGCAACGGAAAAACAAAAAATAGATTTTTTTTATTAATAATAAGAAACATGTTCTATCGACAGCAGCGCAAATAAACATTATTGTGGACAACTAGCGCTGTGAAACCACGATGTATTTTTTACTGGACACCTAGTAGTGTCATTTTGTTATGCATCGTTGCAAAATTCCTGTAAAACTAATAACAGCGCTCCATCGAGACCCATCCTGGGAATATGCACCGCTGTTTAGTTAACACTTGGATGTCTCCGAAGACATTGTCCCTGTTTGTAACTAATTGCTGATGTGATAATCTCCCAATCGATAATGGTCGATTAACGAAACATACGTGAATGTATAATCAATTTCGTGAGGTCTCACAGGTTAAACACACCTAGAAATCCGAAATTATTTTCAACGGTGTGGTGTCGCGAATTGGAATATTTAGGGTTTCATTTGCTGACACGTCAATTAAAAAGCATATTCAGTCACTGTACGTTACGAGTGCTAGCCCGAGGGCATAGACTGGGTTACTTCAAGAATGATCCATACATATTCGAGGTAGCTGTCAAATGTATCGCTAAGCGTGGTGTGTGTGATAAAGAAATTACAATAGCCATGATGCAACACCACATGTACCACAGAGGTATGTATTTCCATCTACGAATAACATTGCTTGAAAAAAAGACGTGTATCTTTCAAAACAAATGTCGTAAAAATTGACAAGATTCCGTACTGAACATGTCGAAGCGGAGGCTTTGATGCTACAGAGATGTCTCGATGATGTGACGGGGTGCTCTGCAAATGGCAGAACAACAGCCTATCACGATAATGGTAACAAATTTATAATAAATAAGTGTGGAACTTTATCTAAGTTATATATTTTATACAGAGCCACTACCAGGCCCATCGACGCTAACACAACGCCTGTATGATCGTTATAGCGAAGAAAGTGATAGCAGTAGCAGTAGCTTTATTAACCCCGAGCATGAATCTGTAGGAGATAACGACCAATGTTTTAATAATAACAGCAATTTCGAATGATCAGGAAAATTCAAATATTTTAAAGAAAATCAGAGTCATGGATGGTTGATGGTAATGTCCCCGCACCTAACAACGGACCATTCAGAGTCCCAAGATCCCCGGTCATTCCCCTATCACCGCATCAGGAAGATATCGCTGAAGAAGAGGCGCGGATAGCACTACTGGCCAGCGATACCGATGACACGGACGGCGATACAGACTCCGATGACGATGCACAGAGCATTTCCGAAACCATGGAGCCAGTTCTCTCCGAAGAAGGTAACAACATATTGATGTTCTGTACTACCACTGTACCACTTTTCAATAGAAATTACTAAATCTCGAAATGTTGGGAATGGTGAAATCGAATTAGACGCATTATTCTCGTACATAGGATCGGCAATTATTCCTCGTGAAGAATGAGAAGTTAGTGCACTTGTTAATAATTTTACGGTATTTCGTAATTGGAATAAAAAAAATACTGTTCAATCACTAGACGCTGCGAATGACGACGAGATGTACTGTCAAATGGGGTGTGGCCGTATCATTCAATCAAACGAGGACGACAATGATCATGAAGATGGAGAAGAAGAAGAAGAGGTTACCGATAAATGATGTTTTACCACCGGGCCATAGGTTTACCATACAATCCCAAATGACGCGTCGGATAAAAAGGTTTCGTTTATACGGGCGTGAAATAAGAATAACTATCACCCAACCACCCGAGGACCAAGATACTAGTGTAATGTCTTGGTTACAAGGAGCTGTCAGGGACATACACACATATCTCACAAGTTCATGCACTCCGCGCGACTATATAGGTTTGACAATTAATTCAGATAGTTTTGCGCAGGGTGCCGCATGGTTGTCATACAGACCCGGTCGTGATTTTCTCGAAAGAGATGTGTGGGGTATAATATCGGGTGTCACACAGAGCACGGGCACATTCCAACTAGATAGATCTTTTGTTATTTCGTCATGTATAGTCAAAGTACCGGTGGGTGCTGCTCGTGTACAACTAACACACGCGTTTGTAAAAAAGCAATCTATCTGACCATCGCGAACTCGGATAATCTCTGCCTGCCTAGATCGCTCGTTGCAGCAGCGGTATACGTAGAACGGGGCGAGGTGCGCTCGGGAGAATTAACCGAGAAATGGGAATCTGTGCGCTCTCAACGGGGTAGATTATAAAAACAACTTGCTCTTGAACTTGTGTGAAACGCCGGTGTAGATATACCATCTGACGAGTGCGGTATTCAGGAAATCAACAAATTTCGAAGATACCTCGTGCAGAAGGGTATAGTCATTGTCGTTTACGAGTTTGAGAATATAGGAACCGGTGAGAAACCGTTGTACGACGGATCGCAAATCGTTGATGTCGTATACGGATCGGAAAAACCGTGGCAGACGCTCCACATTTTATATTATAATAATTTGAAATATTATCAACCGATTCTAAATTTACGGGGAGTTGCGGTTTCTGTATACCATGTAACCAGGCCACACAAACGTAACACAGCATAGATGCTCTCACAAGTGTGCTAGATGTTTCGGACAATCACTCTGTGATACGAGTTTCCCCACCGTGAAATGTCTCAACTGCTGTAGGTATTTTTTCGGCCCAACATGCCTCGATAACCATATAAACATTCTACTTAACAAACAAAAGGGAAAAGAAAAGGGCGTCTGTCAATCCGTGCGGAATTGTCCACAATGTCTTAGATCTCTTCAAAGAACGAAGGGGAAACACTCTTGTGATAGAGGGTACTGCAGAGTTTGTAAAAGCCTAAGCAATATAGAGCATCAGTGTTACGTAAGACCGGTGAAAAGTTCAACCAGTCAAAAAAAAAAAGAATGTACTTATTTTACGATTTTGAAACACAACAGATAAACAAACTACCCGGTAATGACACAACGTACATTCATACTCCAAACCTGTGCGTTGTTCAAGATGTCTGTATCACCTGCATTAACGATCTCAATCTCACGAAACTGTGCCCGTCCTGCGGTGTGCGCGAAAATACTTTCGAACAGGATTCATTCATACATTTTGTCGAGCTCGCGTATGATTCTGCAAGGAAGTCGTTTCAGCGCATTATCTGCATAGCGCATAACGCCAAGGGTTTCGATGCGCAGTTTATACTAAGATATCTCTTGAAGTGGAAAAGGAAAAGTGTAAAACCCCCAACATTGATACTTAACGGTAGAAGCATCATAATGATGAAAACCGGTCGTGTAACCTTTATAGATAGTCTTAATTACTTTCACATGCCCCTAGCTGCCTTACCAAAAGCCTTTGGCCTTTCGACCACTGATGTTTTGAAAAAAGGAATCTCTCCACATCTATTCAACACCCCGACAATCAAAACTATATAGGACCGCTACCACCGCTCCAGTTTTATTCATCCGAGACGATGTCACCAACCGTTCACTGTTTTTAACGCGGTATAACGAGCAACGAGCAGCGGGCTACGTATTTAACTTTCGAACGGAATTAATCGATTATTGTAAAACAGATGTCACTATCCTAAAAAAAGCCTGTGTCTCTTTCCGCGAAATGTTCCTGCGATACGGTAACGTTTGCCCCTTTTCAGAAAGCACTACCATAGCCTCGGCGTGTTCGAGGGTTTTTCGGAAAAATTTTTTGCGCGATGAACAGATAGCTATTTTACCATCGGGTGGGTATCGTTACAGCGACAAACAATCGCGTAAGGTGTTGTTATGGCTCCTTTCGCTGGACTGCCGTCTGGGGTGTACCATAGCCCATGCTGGGCGTACACGGGAATACCGCTTACCTGGGGGTACGCCTGTTGACGGGTACCATCACGATGTCGATACCGGTGTACAGCGCATATTTCAATTTCAAGGCTGTTTCTGGCATGGTTGCCCCACGTGTTACCATATAAACAGGGATACCCGCTTACACACAGACGAATCCATGGATGAACGCTTCGAGAGAACACAGGCAATTAACGATAAGATTCGGTTCCTCGGTTATGAACCGACGGAGATTTGGGAGTGCGAATTCGATTGCTGGATTAACGAGCCGGAACAGTCTGAATTATACCGGGAACTAAACAATAACCCACTAGTGTTGCAGGAACCACTTGAACCCCGCGATGCTTTCTTCGGCGGTAGTACAGGGAATACCATAAGTTTTTATGAGGTCTAAGGGTCATAGAGAATACATTGTGTGGATGTATGCTCGCTGTACCCATTCATATCGAAAACAGGAAAATTCCCCGTAGGTCATCCGAGGGTGTATGTGGGCGCCGAGTGTTGCGAATTAACGGGTGAATCTTATAACATTGATAACGTGGAGGGTCTGATTAAATGCGTTGTATTACCACCACGGAATTTGTATCACCCTGTTTTACCAGTGCGTATGCATGGTAAGTTACTCTTTGCTCTGTGTCGTTCTTGCGCCGAGTCTACTCTACAGAAATCCTGTCCACACGAAAACCCCGAGGACAGAGTATTCGAAGGGACCTGGGTTGTGGATGAGGTTAGACGCGCTGTATGTAAGGGGTATAAGATCACGCGTATACACGAGATATGGCAGTATAAAATCACGCAGTACAACCCAACGACGCGGACGAGTGATCATTTTGCGGACATTCTTAAAAATCAAGCAGGAGGCGAGTGGTTGGCCGCGTGAATGCGTCGATAACAAAGAGGCTCAGCAGGCGTACATAGAGGAATATGAAAGGGTGGAGGGTATTCGTCTCGATCCTGATAATATACAATCGAACCCTGGTCTACGGTCCGTTGCAAAGCTATGTCTAAATTCTTTTTGGGGCAAGTTTGTTCAACGCGAAAATTTACCTAAAACAGAAATCGTGACAACATGTCAAAAACTCATGAATTTATTTATATGCCCAGAGATCGAAATTACAGGTATTTTACCTATAGACGATGAGATGCCTTACGTTAACACGCGAAATACGAAAGATTCTTTGATACCGACACCGTACACCAACGTCGTTATAGCTCCATACACCACGGCTCATGCTCGCCTTAAACTGTATGACTATCTCGAGAAATTAGATCGACGGGTGGTATATTACGACACCGACTCGTGTATATACGTGTCGGGTGGGTGCCACAGTGATAACGATTACACGCCACCGCTCGCTAGCCTTTTGGGCGATTTAACAGATGAGCTAGAATCATACGGTGTTGGTAGCTACATCACGTCCTTCGTATTAGGAGGTCCAAAATTTTATGCGTATAAAGTGTGTAAACCAGACGGCTCTCACATATAGTAAAAGATATCACGCTAAACTATACAACTAGTTTAGCGATTAATTACGATTGGATGCATTCTTTCGTACGTGGGGAGACTACCGAGCCGGTTGTTTTACACTTCGATGCGATATGTCGTACACCGTTTCACGATCTTGTGACACGGTTAGAATCTAAAACTTGTAAACAAACGGAGCTCCGCAAAAAACGTCGTGACGGTCGTTTCGGATCGTTACCCTACGGTTTTGTATAACTACCATTATATATATTTCATAAAACATTCTAAACGATAGTAATATTTTATATACACCTGTATGAACACCTGTAATAAGTATTATTGTAACAATATTCTTAAAGTATCTATAATTCGATAAAGCACCCCAACCCATTATGTTACAGAATGAAACGAGCTAGCAGCGTACACGGGCTAGCCAGCGATCATATTACAAAACACTACATCTAAACGATGCTCATCGGGTATGGTGAGCTCGCACCGACGAGGTTCTAGCAGCGTTGGCAATAGGAGCTCGCGTGTGCGCGCGATCTACAAGACTCGTGGTATCGCGCATGCCGCGCCCGGGTCCCGTGTTAGGGGGGAGTGAATCGCGATAGAGGTTTAAAACTATATACCTAAGGATCATTGTCAAATATCTTCATTCGTTGTAATGGATACAAGGTGGAAACATCCGTGGACATCGATGATTTGCGGACCCACGGGGTGTGGGAAGACGTTCTTCGTAAAGAAGTTCTTATGCTTCATCGAGATCATGAGCGACGTGCGTTTTGCGCGTGTTCTCTTTTACTATGCAGAGTGGCAGGAGGGGTACAGAGAGTACGGGAGCGCTATAGAGTTTCACGAGGGACTGCCGCGGAACATCAATTACGGCAACGACCCGCGGCCGAAACTCGTCATCATCGACGATCTCATGAGGGAATAAGTCCAATAACACGGTGGTCGACCTTTTTATCAAAGGCAGCCATCATAAGAACATCAGCGTTATCTTAATCACGCAGAATCTCTTTCATCAGAGAACAGGACAGCGCGATATCTCGTTGAATGCCAACTACATCGTTGTATTTAAAAATCCGCGCGACAGACCGCAGATACAGCATCTGGCGAGACAGGTGTTTCCTGAAAATCCGCGCTTCGTACAGGAAGTCTACCGCGATACCACGGCCCAACCGCATGGTTATCTACCACTCGATTTGAAGCAATCGACCCCCAATATCTGTCGCTTTCGCACGTGCGTGTTTTCTTCGGACCCGTTCCACTATGTGTACGTACCGCGAAAGGGTATAAAGGGCGGGTACACCGATCGAGACGTACCAGTATTCAGTTGTAATGGTATCCAGCGCACGCTGCTCTATAGGGCGGAAGCACGCCACAGTGTTAAAGGCTATTTGCCATCTGGATAGCAAACAACGCAGCGCTTTGTTACGAGCATATCGTTCGTCTCTACCGATAACGATCTAGACGATCCGCACGAGCTGAGACTCTGCCGATCTCTGGCGCGCATCCTAGGTTTTACCGAGTCGGTCGTGGTATCGAAAGCAGAACCCATTGTGATGACCAATCAACCGGTGATCAACACCCTATCCAAGATGCTGTTTGTTTACACCGATGTCTGCAAGCCGTGTATCACCGGAGACGCCAAAACACCCTTGCTTCGCGTGGTTCCCCTGCAGATGGATAACAAATATGTGTACGCCGCCGTAAAAGTGCTCTCGTTTTCACCGTTAAAGTACATACTGTTGCTCCGCACGACTTTTCAAACGATCGATATCCATATAAGAGACCAGCTGGGCGAACCTATCCCATTCGAATCACGGACGCTCTCCGTAACATTACACTTTAAACGGGTAGACTGATGCCTCATTACACCGATTACTACGATTCGCAGATAGGTGGGGGATATTCCACAAAATTTCGGGTGTTCGCGGGGTCGCCGTATCAGCGAGGGTATGGTATCGGTAGCTTTCTCGGGTGTCAGTTTCGGTGCGTGTTACCTTTGCTATCGAGAGGAGCCCGAGCCGTCGGTAAGGAGGCGGTACGCGCGGGCATGAATATCTTGACAGACGTCAGCGAGTGCGGCGCTCTGCTGAAACATGGTTTGGCACCAGGGCCACCGAAACGGGTATGAATCTTAAGCGTAAGGCTGAGGCTTAAATTAACGAGCTCATGAAAAGATCGGACTATAGAGCTGTAAAACGATCACGCGGTGGCCACTCTATCATCGGCGTCGCTGGAAGGAGCATCGCCTCACCCTTAAGAACTGTTAACAAGCGTAAAAAAAGTACGAGAAAAAAGGTTGCTCCGCGTAGAAAAAAAAGTAGTAAAAAAATTAGAAAGTTTACGCGTGCAGCTACGATCCAAGGACACGTTAGCTCCTGGCGCTCTGAGCAAAGCAACCCCTGTTAACAACCTGCTACACTCGCTGTTCAATCAGGTGGACGTGTTTCTTAATCAGATGGTTTCTCCCTCATGGACCCCAAGAGCGAGTGTTCTTCACATATAACGGAGGCCACGCTCCTCGTTAGACGCGCCAAAATAAGTCCCGGTATTCTAATTGCTCATTCTAAACTGCTGTCTAAGACAACGGCCAAGTATCCGCTTACGCGTCTAGAGGTCAAAGCACTGACGATGCACGCCGGCTTGCACGGTGGTACGGTGGATAACGTGATTCTCGGCCAATTACCTAAGCGGATTATAATAGGCCTCGTTGACAACAATGCCTTTAACGGCAACTATCAACTCAACCCGTTTAATTTTAAGAACTATTGTATTAATTTCTTATCGTTGTACGTCGACGGTGTTCAAATACCCTCGAAAGCACTGCAGACCGATTTCGGCAAAGCCGGTTTTTACGTGGACGCGTACCACACCCTCTTCAGTGGTACTGGTATACACTTCCTCAACGAAGGTAATTCGATATCTAGGAGCGCTTACGCAGACTACTATACTATTGCCATTTATTCCCTTGCGGGGCACAGCACGGACTCCCACTCCGCTTACACCAAAACTTAAAACTACTGTGCAAATTATCCTATTTAAAACCTCGTTTTTTCGCACACACCTCATGCCTCGCTCGCAAAAGGAGAAAAAGAAATTTCAAAGAAAAAACTCTTTTGGCTCATTCTCCCCAATCTCTCATTCAGTCTCGCCCTCGCATCACTCTCTCCACCTCTCACCCTGCCGGCGTCCGTTTCCGGCGCTCTTTTCCTAATCCCCGCCTAATTCTCCTTCCCTCTCTCCCCCCTTTCTTTTCTTATCCTTTCTATTTCTACTATCCAGTTTTCCCCCTGTCCTTTCTCTCCAACACTTCTTCTCTCATCTCTTGCCATCCTCTGTCTATACCCAAACCCGAGCATACCTCCCATACATGTTTCCACGTCTCTACTCCATACCCACATATTCTACACCTCTTTTTTCTTCCTTCTCCCAGTACATTCCTCCATTCATTTCTTCCTCTAATCTAAACCTCGCCATTCTGCCCCATCTCTCCTCCTTCCAGCCCCTCTTTAGGTATTCCGGCACCCCATTCCCCTTAATGAATTTATATTCCTTGTTCCCCTTTGCTTCTATTATCCTGGTCCATCTTTCCTCCCTCTGTTTCCTTCTTTCTATGTTCATTATCTCCTCTCCTTTCATGTTTCCTGACTCCCACATCTCTTCTACCTTCTCTACCTTCCATCCTCTACTTTCGTAAAACTCTCTTCTTTCCCCTTCCCATCCCTCTACCCCTTTTCCAGCTCTCACCCTCTTCTTCATTTCCAACCTGCATCTTCTCGCTAGCTCCCCCCTTCTTCCTTCCTTTATTCTCTTTTCATGCCCCCAGGCCCTCATTCCCGCTCTTGCTTCCAGCTCCTTCCTACCTCCTCCCTTAGCATATACCCTGGAACTCTTCTTGTTACCCCTAACACCCGTTTTAAATACCTCTCCTGCAGCCTTTCAACCTCCTCTCTTTCCTTTCACCCCCAGATTTCTACCCCATAATTCACAACCGACCATACCAACTTGTCAAACAGCCATACCCTTCTTCCCCAATCGTCTCCGAACTTCCTTTTTCCAATTGCCCATACCTGTCCTAGCACTTTCGCTCCCTTCTTCACTCTCTCTCTTACATGTTCCTCCTGATCCCCATTCGTCTTAACTACATACCCCAAATATGTGTACTTTTTTACCTCTTCCACTTCCTCTCCCATCCATCTCCAGCTCACCTTTTTAAACCTCCCACCTCCTTTCCTACATCTCATCACCTTTGTTTTCTTTATGTTTACCTCTAGCCCTTTCCCTTCCACATATCTCTCCAGCGTCCTCATCATGCCTCTCATCTTATCTTTCCCTCTCGCCATTAACACCACATCATTCGCATGTGCTAGACAGAACAATTTCTTCCCCGCCCAGCACTACTCCCCCTCATCTGCCCCTCTCCAGTTCCTCGTCTAGGTTCGCTAGGAAGAGGACAAACAGGAGGGGGCTGAGCGGGCATCCCTGCCTTACCCCCTTCTTTGTCCATAACTTCTTTCCTATCTCCCTTCCTACTCTGACTCTGTTACGCGTTTCCTCCGTCACCACCTCACATCTTCTCACTAGCCCTTCACTCACCCCTCTTTCCCTCATACTCTCGAACAACTTCCCCCTGTCCACTGAGTCAAAAGCCGCCCTGAAGTCTACAAAAAGCAGCATTAGCTTCCCTTTCTTTTTCCCTAACTCTCGGTTCATCAGGTAATTTAGTACATAGATGTTGTCCACCGTCCCCATCCCCTTCCTAAGGCCTGCTTGACTCGGTGGCAGCAAACTTTTTCTTTCCACCTCTCTCCTCAGCCTCCTTTCCAGAACCCCTACATATACTTTGTATGTTGTCTGTGTCAGTGCGAACCCCCTATACTCCTCCACCTTTTTCCCTCCCCCTTCTTCACTATTGGAATTACTACTCCTTCCTTCCAACCTTCTGGCCACCCCGCTCCTCTGCACACTCTCTTACATATCTCCCATAATGCCCTCTCCATATTCTCTCCTCCGTACTTCCACACTTCATTTGGAATTTTATCCTCCTACACCGCCTTCTTATCCTTCAGTCTCTGCACCACCTCCCTTACTTCCTGCAGTGTGACGTCTTCTTCATCTTCAATCATCTCTCTTTCTATTAACTCCCCTCCCCTCACTCTCTCCTCCGACGCTCCCAACACACCTCGGAAATACCTATCCCATTCATTCATCCTGATGTTCTCGTTCACGCCCTTCCTTCTTTTTCTTCCCCTATTTACTACCTTCCATACCTGCTCCTCCGTCCTTATTGCCTTTATCTCCTCTTCCCATTTCTCCCTTTCCACCTTCCTCTTGTCATCACACAGCTTCTTATACCTCCTTTTTTCCTCTCTGTACTCTACTTCATCCCCTTTCCCTTTCTTGAACTCCACCAGTTTCTCCTTTAGTTTCTCCTTTCCTTCTCTACACTCCTCGTCCCACCATCCACTCCTCCCTCCTTTCTTCTTCAGCTACTCGGTCTCCTTTAGCCCCTCTACAATCTTCCCTCTCAGGCTTTCCCACCCTTCCTCCACACTCCGCTCACCCTACTCCCACATATCTACCTTTTCCTGAAACAGCTCTTTTCCTCTCTCTGTCCAGTCACTTCTGCCCATTATACCCTCCCCTTTTGCTCTGCCCCTTATGATGTCTCTTCCCTCCTTCTCTACGTACCCAGACCACTACCGGCAGATGATCTGAGTCTACCTTCCCTTCTACTTCCATCCTCAGTACGCTATTTCTCACCATTTCACTCATCACTATGTAATCTATCACCGAACAACCTCTTTCTCCCACGAATGTCCAATTCCCCTCCTCGTCCCCTTCCACACATTCATTCAAAATTCCCCATCCTCTTTCATTTATTAAATTACACAATTTCTTCCCTTCCCTATTTAT